TTACATGATATATTTTCTGCTAGGACAACATGGTGGCGTGGTTGTTAGCATTGCTGCCTCATAGCACTGAGGCCCTGAGTTTAGTTTCTGGCATCCTATCTGCAATGAGTTTGTATGTTCTTCCTGTGATTGCACGGATTTCCTTCCACAGTGCAAAGGCATACTAGTACATAGGTTTATTGGATTCTGGGAAAATACGCCCTGGTGCGAGTGTCTGATTGTTTGTGTGCCCTGTCCAGGGTGTTCCCTACCTTGTGCCTGTTGCTTGCTGGGAAAGGATTTACAGTATGTGATTCTGAATTGGATGAAGCTGTTAGAAAATGGATAGATAGTAATAGTAAGCATCCAAGTAGAGTAAGCTCTGAAATAAGAACAATACTTTTTCTTAAGAAACTGCAGAATCCCCAAATTACCTCCTGGTATTGCATCAGAAAAAGATCTCACAATGAGACCTCAGCCTCTGTTGGTAGTTCTTTTTGACTTCATCCTTCTGACAGATTAATAACATTTCTCAAAGCTACTAACTGGTTATTCTAAACTATGCAAATATTTTACTTCTTGGAGATTGCAGTGGATTGTTTCTTATCAGCATTAGCTTGGACTTTACTCAGCAAGTCAATTTCCCAAAAGATACTGTATGTGAGGCCATGCATTTGACTTAGTGTGTTCTTGTGTTTGGACTTTTCCAGCCTCCAGTCACATGAACTTAGTGTTTCTCAAGGCTGCCTGCCAGTTCCTTCACCTCCCAGTAACACCAAATGTACAAGCTCTTTCAGTAGCTTCAATTCAACTAGTTTAATGTCAGAGATCATAAAACGTCTCCTTAAAGCAGCTAAGCCTGTTTTATTAAGGATTTTGTTGCTCATTACAATGACACCCGAACACAATTTATTAATAGTCTAGCTTATACAATAACATACTTTATTGTTAAAGCTCATTCTTTCTTTTGGTACACAAATGAGTTGTGATCTGTGAAAAAAAACAGTACATCTTGAGTAGGTGTGGAAGGGGCTGACTGCTCATCTACAAGCTTATGAACAAGATCAACAGGCCTATAGAAATGCCCTTAAAGCAGTGAGATACCCCTTTTGATCCCATCTTAGTGAGAGCAGTCTCTGTAGTCCAGCATTCTCTTTCTTGATTTTAATAAAATCCTTGAGCCTGAAAGTATTTCCCTCTGAAGTCTATAGAATCACACTCTTTCCTTCACAACAAAATACATAATATAAGCAGTTACAGCCCTCATCTACTGCAGCCACTGCTACATTCTCTGTGACTTTCATAGGTCCGAATTTCTCCCATCTTACAGTACTGCAATTAATGCTACCTGTGTAACTGGCAAAAATGAGATAAGTGGTTCACTGAGGCCTGCTACACTTTTTACGGAGCTTGACTCTAACAGTTGTCGGGTATAAATTCAAAACAGGGCAATGACAGATTTGTGTTCCTTAATTTGTAACTGATAATTAAAATGATCAATATAACAATCAAGGGGTTAACCAAACAGATGTAGTATAATTAAGACAGTATTTGTATTTAAGTTGACATTGACATCTGTTGACATTGCATGGATGACATTCCAAATCGTGAAATCCAAGTCCTTTACTCAAAATCCTCTTCAATCTTCATTCTTTCTCTACCTTATGAATGTGATGGATTGCTCTGCTTTTACTTTTTTATGTCTTTGCTGGAATAGTTTAGTTTCCACTGTGCTGTATTGCAACCATGGTAACATGAACAAAATGGCAGAAGAGAAGAGGACTATGAGGATATTCTAGTTACTGTATTAGTAGGATGGTATTATAAGAGCTTCAAAATTCTGTTTCAAGCTCCAAAATGCCTTTCATTAAACTGTACTTCATTGTACAAAATCATTGTGCACTGAACTCAGTATTTCTGTGACAATTAGCTCTCCTCTTTGACAGACAAAGGCTGCATTCATGAAGTGTCTCTCAGTAATTCAAAGGACATTTTGGAAATGTCGGTCCTGTGTTAATCTGGAGAGAAGTTTTACATGCCTTCGACCAGCATCCCAGCATTTATTAACACATTTAGTATCTTCAGTATCTTCAAACAAAAATCTTCCATGTTATAAATGGTGAAATCATTTTATAAATGTTTTAAATTATTTAATTATATTGGTAATGAATCAGCTAGATATTTAGTGATATTAATGATGAATATTTCTTTAAGCAGGTTTTGCATGTCATCATTAAATCACAGATTTCAACAGATAGATTGAAAAATATATGGAAAAATAAACAGATATGGAACAATTAAACAAGTGTTTTTTTAAATGAAGTAATTTACTGATTTTTAGGATCAGAGTTCTCTTAATTCAACTGATTACTTGCTTGATTAATTTACGTGTTACAGGTCTTGTAGGTCTTTATAAACAGTGAGTAAAAGACTAACTGGATTGGAACTGTACAGAATTAGGGTTGGTGACCTTTAGTCTAACTCATGTACCAATAATACTCAAACATGGAAACATTTGTCTTAATCTTTATGGTGATAAATGTTTTCATTCATCATTTATCATTAAAAACCATAAGGCTTTATGGCTCTGCCTTAAAACCATCCAGTCAGACACATGACTTTTGTAAGTGCAGGGATATTATAAGCGACAGATCTGTCAGTCAGATAAATACAACACTGAATATCCATGAAAGAGAACTGCTCTAGATTTGATGCTATAGATATTAATTTTATATGCAGGGACACAGATCAGATAAAAAAAAAACAATGATGCTAGAAAGCAATGTCATAAGAAATTATCAGAACAGGAGAAAGTGGACTGCCTGGCACATTTGAACTTAGTACACACAAGTGAAGAACGTTTACTTTGTAAAAATGAAAAACACTAGGAGGAATTCAATGCCCTGTTAGAGTACAGGTGCTTCTTTGGAGTAATTTGATCAGAGATGCTGGAGGTTAATGTGAAAAGCATTGTTTTACAATCGACAGAATGACGTGTATCCATCTACACCACCTGCTTCTAAAACAAAAGACATTGTGGGTAGAGACATCCATGCTTTAGTGCTAAAAATGCAAACTGTTAGCAAACTGTGAATATCAAAACTGCTATTTCAATATAGTTGGATCTGCAAAGTACTCTTTATTATATGTAGTTCAGGTGGGTAGCTGCGTCAGCATGCGTAGTCTGCAAAGGAACAAGTAATAGGTTTATTCCATGCTGAAAAGAGAAAACACAACGTTTCGGCTGTGAAGCCTTCTTCAGGTGTGAGCTCTTTATTATATTATGAGGATACAGGACATTAGATCTGGGTAATAATTTCTACGTTCTGAACATCTTTATCTCATTTGGAAATCAGACCACAGACTTGTGTGCTGAGGAACAAAATGTCAGCACAAAAAATGAGACTAAGCCACATCACATCACTAAACAAAACAAAACAAAACAATAAAAGGTTCTATTCAAAGAGTACATCAGTTCTAAAGAAACAGCAGTTAGTGTTTCTCTCTGAATCATCACACATCAACATCTTAAGACTCTTGGAAAGATGAGGTGAAAATTACAACTTGATTTTATCTCTACAAAACAATGAAACTGTGAGTTTTTCTCCACAAAGGAAAACCACATTTATTAGACGTTATTGTTTGCTAAGGTGCTGTTGGCAGGTGGTCTCTGTTTTGGTGTAGACATTTTTGTTTCTGTTTTTTCCAGGCCTGAGGCCTGGTCTCCGAGGAAAGATTAAAAATGGGAAGGAAATCAAACAAATAAAGCAGTCCACCTTCCCTGAGATGCCAACAGAATACACTTCCTAAGATTCAGCCCACTAGCATTTTGCCGATGTAATGCAAAAATATAAAATATTAACCTCACATATTGTAAACTAAAAAAATACAGAACATTAAATTTAATTAATTTACAATAATACAATATTTATTTCCTGAAATAATGACTATTTGCCTTTATTTAAAAAGAATGAAAATATTCTGATTTGCATGTATAAAAGATGGAAAACCATAAGCAGTTCGTACGTCATTGTGATAGAAGTTGATTATTAGTCAGCATAAATAGCTCTTCATGTTTATTTGTGTTTCTTTCTTTTTTGTTTGTTTGTAAGCCTCAATAACAGAACTAGGTCAGTGTGAACTGTAGAGGAATTAAACTGCTTGTTCTTTTTAACATCAACAATATCTTTATTAAATTTGAAAAGCTGAGGTGTGTGTGGAAAATGCCAGTAAATCAGACCTCAGAGTGACGTAGTGCCAGACACATGAATGGGTGTTTCAAAGATAACAATATAAATGTGAAAAACTATACATTTACTAATTTATAAAAAGGCCACAACAAGTTAATGTAGATATACAAGAAACAGATGACAAGTAATGAGAAAGAAGTTTTAAAAGTGTGTATACTGCACCTCCTTGGAAGCCAAGTTCAATTTATAATACCTTCACATTTCCTAAACAGGTAACTCTGAGAGTTGAACATATTATATTTTTACTTATGGCTTTTTTTGCAATATCACTCTGAAATCACAATTTTATTTATGGGAAATATTTTATTATTAATTTGTAACGAACGTTAAGGAGGGATGACAACAGCCAAGTTCAATCAGACTGGGCGGTCAGTGATTAGCAGTCACTCCTGACGTCATTTCCTCTCCTAAAACACTATCCATACCGTACGTGATCCCCATCTCTCCCTCGCGTATGTCTTCTGCATCCCACCTCCACCCCATCTCCACCTCTGCAGCTGCCCCTTGGTCACTCCTCACTCTGCATGGAAGTCCCGGCTTCTCGTCCTCTGGCCAGGAGATCGGCCCTCAGCCAAGCCGGTTAAGCCAAATTTTCACTAAACACTCCATAATCTTTTTCAGGGCACATTATTCTTGGGTGTTGTTATTCCTAGTGAAATAACGATACATTTTGTACTAAAAAGAAGTCAGGTAAGATCCGAACAGGAAACTCTTAAAGCTGTGGAATATAGTCAGTAAAAGACCTTTTAGGAATAATTAATTAATCAGTCCTTTGTAGTGATGTGGAAGCATTCCAGAGAGCTGCAAATAATCAAGCTCGGATTGTATTAAGACCATTGGCACTTCTTGTCAGGCTTTGATTTTTCCAGACTCAAGATTGCATCAGATAGTGAAACCGCAGAGGGATGAATTAATCAGCAAATGTAATAAGAGAACCAAACAGAGCACAGATACACAATGAAATACACATTACCATGCTGAGCATTTTTTATATTTAGAGTAAACAATCACATTGATATTTTGAGCTGCACCAAAATAAAACAGATTTCATACACATGTATGTCACATTTTGCTGATGGTGAAATTAAGACGTCAGATTAGAAATTGGTTCTGGATCAATATCATAATTTTCACTTCAAAGTGACCCTGGGGATGATAAGACGACCAGAGGTAGCAGTGGGCTCACATGTGTTGCATTTGTTTTCTGTCATTTGAATTGTACATGAGCATTAATCATGGGGACCAACAGCCAAACATCACCAATCACATTAAACAAAAAGAGATATCTGTAAAGAGAGATAAATAATTTTATTTCAGTTTAGTTTTAGAAAAGAAGTGTATGTTGATTTAATAGAAGTCTGATATATTTGAAATAAGAAGTGAAATGAAACAGTAGTAGGTTCAACATTCTTATTTTTTAAACACTTCTGCTCCCATACTGGTAAAGATTTTTGATCCAAAGCCTTAAGAATATTCAAATCTTCTCCTCTGCTTTACATTACTAAATACACTAAATACAATATCTTAATTTTTTATTAGAGGATGTAAGGTGTGCAATTATAAAATATGTGCTGGTTCGATTGAAACTTGGACCAAAAGTAATCCACATTGTCGTGAGTTGGGCCCCAAGAAATTCTAATCTAAACCAACCTGAAGAAGACAGATGGTAAAACTCCCAGTTTGAAAATAATTTTATCCTAGCAGCCTGAAATAATGTATGATGTAAGCACTTACTGATGGGATTGCTTTCAGTGGGATCTCAACTGGTCCATCCTTAGAAATTAGCTCTGCAACAGAAAGTTATTAATCTCATGAAAACCAGCAGAGGCACACACAAAATTGTCAAGAATCCCACAACCGCTTCAAAAACCTCCAGAGAGGAAACTGCTTTACTCCCATCCATACAGAAATATAGTTCCTTGTTGTTTTTTTCCAAGGCTAGCCATTTTCAAAGCTGGCTGCTAACAAATCTGTTTCTCCCCTCTAGCATGTCTGTCAGATTCCTAAAGCAGTCAAAATTACATAGGTAAAGTATATCAACTTGTCAATTTGAAGAGCAAAGTATCCATTGATCTGGGACTGAAATGACAGAATTGAACCACACAGCCAGTTCCCTAACATTAAGGCCCAGAACTGCTCAGCTAATTCAGTTTTGTCCTTGAGTGCTCCTTACAAGAGCTGACAAGTAAAATAGCCTGGATTTGAGGTTACAGGAGGACAAGACACATCCTGCTTTCCAAGTAGATGCTTTGCTTAGTTGAGCCACTGATGAAACTCCAATATGGATTAAAAAGTTGAACAAAATACCACTCCACTGCGACTGAAACAGCAAATACTCATTTGTTATCACTGTGGATTTGGAGTATGTTTTAGCTCCCATTTTTGCTGTCAAGATAGAATGAAAGAACTTTGTTTTGTAGCTGCATGGCATTTTGTGTTCCACGATCAGCTTGTAACCTCAACTAAAAGTGCACGAAATTATCTCACCTCCTCGTTTGCGCCCACAGAACAGAAATTTTTGAGTGGCTGGCTCACAAACATTATAGTGGTAATCCAGGAACGTTTGCCCGTTCACATAAAATGACACAAACATGTAGAGATCTTCAACGGGTTGTCCTGTGAAAGGCAGAAAACAATATCATAATAAAGAACTTGAAGAAATAAATATCTGCTGGAAGAAAGACTAAACAGACAAGGTCATGGGACCTAAAGTGGAAATGAAGAGGAAATTAATTTAGAATGGAGGATGGGAAATACCACCAGCGGCGACAAGGGCTATGAACAAGAAAGTAGCTTCTGTCCCAAATGAGGCTTAGTATTTGTCCCAGATGAGGCTGTGAGCACGGAGCAGAAGGTGGAAGAGAGTGGACAAAGCAGTGATTGTGGAAGTGGAAAGAGAGAGGAGGAGAGAGGCAGGGGAAGACAGGAAGTAGCCCTGGGGAAGTGGGCATGCCAGGATTCTGGGGAGGGGTGGCGACATCAGAAGGAGCTAGAAGAGAAGAGCGGACATCAAGGCATCTACAAGGAGCTGCATGGTTTTCCTGGAGCATGGAGATCAAAGTGCTGCTGATCTGGGGTGGAGCGAGACGGTGGAGAAGGCTTGGGAGAGGCAAATGGTGGTTGGATCGCCAGGTCAGGCTGTATGGAAAAAATCAGACAGGTGCGAGTAAATGATAGGTTAGGATTAGAGGCAAAGAAATGAGAACTGATGGCCTGGCAAGACCCAATGCAGAGTGCAAGAAAGATGAGCAAAGGGTGCTTAGCAGGTAAGGAGAGCAGAAGTGGAAGAGATTAGTGTTTGACCTACTCTTGATCTTCTATTTAAACACTGACCTTGTAGAAGCTAACGATGAAAAACAGTATACATGAGACAGGGAATAGAAGATGAAACTAAGCTGAAATGCATTTAAAACAAAACTAGGGTCAGGTTTTTATACAAAGGATCAAGATACCCAGCCATGTTCTTGAAATCAATGCCCTGGCATCTTTCAAGAAACAGCAGGATGACATCCTGAGATCACTTTGTTACAAAAAACCAAATGGGATAAATAGGCCAAATGGGTCCTCTTCTACGGATTTTTATGTTTTTGACTAACAGCATTATGGAGCACAGAATGAACGCTTTGAAAGAAGAAGGGTGCACCCCTACACCATTCAAATCTACTCTTAATTCTTACACAAATACACAATACATGTCAATCTTAAATGCATGTCTTTCTTGGTCCACAGGCCTACTTACTGTACATATAAAATATTTCATAGTAATGTAATGGACCGCTGAATGCACCTGAAGAGGGCAGTGGTCTATGTTGGGGAAAGGATCCTTGTTTTGGGAAAAGTGACAGTGTTGAGCTCAGTGAATGAGAAGTGAGGCCACAGGCACAAGCAGGCAGGCAAGGCAAGCAGGTGGGGCAGGCGAGGAGAGCCAGTGAGCTAGGGCCAAGATCCAAAGTGGGACATCCAAACACAGGCATGAGGTCCAAGCGCTGGACAGGGTCAACACAGTCAGGAGGTGCGGGTCAAGCACAGGAGATGAAACAAGGCCGAAGAGGAATCAAGGAATAAATGTCACAGTAAAAAAGCATTGAGTCAAGCCAGAGAAGTATTAAAAAAACAGGAGATGAAGAAACTGGAGACTAAGCTAGGGAAAATACCAGAGAGACAAGCAAGCGCCAGGTCAGCTGTAGGACTAAGTGAGGTTGAGCAAACTAAGAACGAGCAGTGTAAAGTTCGCGAAGAGGGAATAAATATCCCCAAGAGAGTGCTGTTTAATTAGATTTAATTTAAACCATAAACCAGACTTCTACTGTATAAACTTCTAGAGCTATTACAAAATGTTTGAGGGGACATCATAATAGGTGAAAGTGTTAAGAGTCGGTGGCAAAGACATCTCCAATGATCATGTTGTCATGGGAACGGGCAGATTGGATGGTTGGTTTGATGAATGCCCACTGGCCACGTTACTCAGCAGGATTATTATAAGTAATGTACAGTACTGTATATGGAAAGGAATGATTCATTTCCAACATTTTCCAGAATTTGTATTTTACTGTCCTTTTGAAAAGCTATCAAACAATCAAGAATGGGCCAACATTTAATTCAATACTTTGTTTTTTTCCAGATGTAAAAAATTATTCATGCATGCTGTATTTATTTGTTTAGATTTCTAGAACGTAAACTGAAAATCCACTAAGTTAGATGCAACATTCAGCTTGTGATATGTAGTATATTTAAAAAAAAATAAAAAATAATGTTTGTACATCTTACCTACTATTGTAGAACACAAAACTTCCTGAGCAAAGAAGACTATGAGGATACCTGACTAAAGGAATAAAAACTCTTAAATCATTGACAAACTCGGCAAAATGGCTTTCTTTAGAAACCACAGTAAAACGTTTACCAGATACAAATAGATATGATGTGGTACTGCATTTACAAATGAGTACAGGAGGCATCTCTTTACACAAAGTAGTTTTGAAATAAGTTCCTCAGCTATGCTGTGGAAACTGAAACTTTGGCTTCCTATAAGAAAGAGTTGAACGAGATCCCTGAATCAATTGGATGTTAACAATGTTTTGTCAAATTGCCCTTTCTTTGCAATGTTTCTTAAATTCTTTGGAAAACTGTTGTGTTAATGGCTTCAGGTGTAATTGGTTATTGATGAAAGACTAATAAGAACCACTTGCTTCATATCCAGGAAGATAAATTCATCCATTTTCAATTCAGATCAGCAACATTGTGTGAGCTGAGCAAACAGATGATTTAGTCAAATTGCATTTTAGCATTTTCTTAAGGCTTAAAAACAAACAGAAAACAATTAAATGCAATCTGACTGTGCAATTTTCAATAAGGAACAAACTGTTTGCATTAATAAGTCAAAACATAGTTAAAAAAGTTGCCAAACACATTTGCCTAGCTTCAGGACCAGGAATCTTCAAGGGAGCTGAAAGCCAGCACACCTCCTTTGCCTACCAGAAAACTCAAACACAGGTCTTGACTGAGCATCCAAAAAGACAAGTGATGCTGTCTCTTTGGAGCTCAGGTGTCTCATATTCTTCAATAGGGTCAATGGACTTGTGGCTAGGACAGGCAACAAGCCTGTCAAGGTGTTTTTCATATGCACACAAACTACTGTTAGAACACAGTAGTGAGGACCCTATGCAGAAAACCAGGGCAATCTCCAGAGGCGTAGCCGATATAACAATCTGAGGTCCAAAAGTCGAAGGTAGACAACCCGGTGCAAAAGTACAAAAACCAGAAGCTGAGCCGTAAACCGGGAGTTGAAACCAGAATGAGAACCAAAGTACCAAAACCAAAACCAGGAGACATAGTCGGAAAACAAACCAGGGTCAGGAAGCCAAACACCAAGTAGGAAGTTATAGCGAAAATGGAAGTAACTCTAGCCAGGACAAATCCTAATACTGAGGTCAGGGGAGAGTGTGAAGCAGCATTAAATAGGCTGGGATAAATGGGCTAATTGGGAACTGTATTGGAATGCGAGGTGGACATTGAAATAAACAGCACACTTTCCATCCATCTATTTTCTAAACACTTCATCCAAGGTCCATTCAGGATTGTTGTGGGGGAGCTTGAGCCTATCTCAGCAAGCAACATGGGCAAAGCACGGTACACCCTGGAGGGGATGCCAGTCCATCGCAAGGAATACACAGACCTGCACACCAAATCCAGTTTTCCTTACCAGTATGTCTCTGGACTGTGGGAAGACACCAGAGCACCCAGTGAACATGGGGTGAATATAAAAACCCTACACTGACAGCAGCCCAAGTCCTGAACTGAACCCAGACCTCCAGCAGTGCAAGGCAGCAATACTAACCACCAACCAAGTGGCTCAGCATCCTTTCCATCCAGAACAAATTCAGACCACGAGATATCCAATTGAAGAACAGAACTAAATCCATATTAATCCCAGAACGTCTACCAACGCCAAGAGAACAGCAACAAATGTTAATCCTTCAATACAACACATGGATGAGGATGTGGTGAGCAAAAGAAGGGTTCAGCTTGCTTGGCAAAAAAAAACCTTTCCATGGCAAAGATCATCTGTAGAGAGATGACATATTACATCTAAATGAGTTGGGCACCAGTCACGTTGGCACAAGGGTCTCCAAAGAAACCCAGAAACATTTAAACTAGACTGGATGGGGGGAGAGAAACTAACCCAAGTAAACAGAAAAATAAATTAGATGGTGAGCACAGACCAAGGGAAGATCAAAGAGAAAAATAAATCAAACGATCAGAAGACTAAATGCTGAGACCAAAGCGCTAGGATTATCAGAGTGGCAAATATGATGTTACTGGAATCACAAAAACCTGATTAACTGAAAATAACAGAGAGGAATGCAACAATAATGGATACAAACTCTTCCAGAGAGACAAGAAAGACAATTGAGGGGGAGGTGTAGGACTATTCCATATATCTGTCATGACCTGGGGCTGCGAGCGGCTCGTCTTCTGCTGTTGCTATAGGCGACCAACACGTTGGATACCTATAGGGCAAATTATATGGTGTAACTAAATTTTCAGAAGAGTTTTCATAAACGTATATATAATCTCTTCTCCTATTGCAGGTGAGAACAGATAGATTAGGGTGATGATGTAATTAGTGGTGTACTGCAAGGATCTGATCTAGATTCAGGTATACTTAGCAAACTAACCATGTTTGCAGATGATACCAGATTGGGAGGATTAGAAAACTGCATGTAACAAGTTACCCAGCTGTGATTCCCTGGCTTCTTTTAAGAAATGAGCACAATGGACTCTGGAGGTTTGAAATCCCTTTACTAAGGACCAGTTACCCTGTCAATTTCTTTACCTTCCTGCATGGCATTTACTTTGTGAACAAAAACAAAATTCAAATAGCTAAAATATACAAAATAATTCTCAAATACACGTATATTTGTTACAGATTTGTTACAAACCAAATTGATTGAAACCAATTAACTTTATAACTGGAGCCTGTTAGGAGAGTTGAAACTGTTCTAATCACTCATTACTCTGGCTTTTTTACACAATGCCTAGAGAGAAACATACTGTATAATAGTATGAAACATTTGCTAAATGCTATGCAAAACATTTACTGTCATAATATTATAACAATCATATGATATCCTCACTAGTTTTCACTAATTCGCCATTCTCTATTTCCACTAGAAATGTTTTAATTTTGTTAGCATCCTGAAGTACTGATTTTTCACAGCCACAACTCAGCTCCTGTTTACGTGTATTTGTGATATGTACTGCATTGGGTCATTTTTAAAAATTTCTCCTTCAGTCTTCAGAGTTTGACTTACATAGTATAAAAACCAGCACAGGTTTACGGAGCAGTTTAAATAAGATTTTTCCATCTTTGAAACCACCACTTAATTTTCCAGTTGACTCTGTCAAAGCTACAGAGTGCATGCCAGACCGAGAGTGGCAAAGATGACATATACAGTAGGTACCTTATATAACATACATTTAAAAACCTTTATTTATTTAGCATTGAACAATAAATAACTGTTGTGGCTGTGCCTGTAGATTAACATTGTGTGATTAAGATCTTACTTAGCACAATGGTGATTCTCATGTTCATGTCAATCTTGAGTGAAAATGAAGGAGGGCAAGGATGAAAACTAAACCCGACATCCTGTAAGGGATCTGTTAGGACATTAAGATAGATAAGCTGCATTTCCTATGCACGGAACAATAGAAATGTTTATATTAGCATAAATGTTGTGGAACAGATGGATAAAAGGAATACTTCCACGCTTTAACCCATTTTATTCAATGGTGTAAATTTTATTCCAAAACATATCCTTCCAGGTGTAAATGGTACTCATAGCGGTGGCGAGATGATTCTAGAAATTTCCAGGTGGCCATTACCGTTTAGTTTTCATCCCAGCACTGACACCCCTAACTGCTGTTTACACCTTTTTAAAAGCAAATTCACAATACATATCACTGTAGTTTTAGTTCCACACCATGATTTTAAACTATATTCCAAGATTACATTGAAATGAAACAATAGAAAGAGCATCTACTGTCTTGTATACACTAGGTTTTTAGGATTTTAAGACTAGGTAATTAAAATTCAAATATCAGGAGAACATCAATTCAAAGTGACAAATATATAAACTCACCACAGCTTGTGTAATATACCTGCACACCACTTCTATTGCACAGTGTGTGTGTTGGCCAGATAGGTTCTCCTCTGTGTTCTTGTGCTGAGGCTAGAATGAAAAGCAATATGATAAAAGCTTTCATAGTTCAGACTCTGGCATACTGTATGACAGACTCTGTAACTGATTCAGGGAGGAGAAAGTATGCACTTTGGTGGAAAGTGCTACAGAATGATATGAAATCATGTTCTCTTCCTACTGTGAGCATCTGTCACTTCCCATTTCTTAGCCTGTGTTTTCAAAGCCACATCGAAACAGTTTTTAAACCTGCACGCAAGTCAGTTTGTGTGTTTTCCAAAGCTAGCGTCTTCTCTGGAATCTATCTGAAAATATGGAAATAAGAAAATCTCTAAATAAAGACTACAGTGCAGAGTTTTAAGACCATTTTCCTGAAACTGTGAAAGTATAGGGGTGTTTCTGCTTATGTAAAAATGTCAGTATTGTTACAGGAATGATTTCATGTGGTGGCCTAGTAGTTAGCTGTGCTGCTGGTTCAATTCTAGACTTGGGGTTCTCTCTGTGTGGAGTTCGTATGATCTGAACATGTTTGCATGAGCTTTTTCTGTGAGCTCTGGTTTTCTCCTAAAGTCCAAAAACATAATGGTAGGTTAATTGGCTTATTGAAAATTGTCCCTGGGTTAAGTGTGTGTGTCTGTGTGTGTCCTGTGATGGACTGGTGTCCTGTCCAGGGTGTATCCTGCCTTGAGCCTTGTGTTGTTTGCCAGGATAGGCATTGCCCCTCCCTTGACCTTGAATAGGATGAAACTATGGAACTAAGGAAACTGAAACTAAAAACTAAGGAAATGGATGGATGGATAAATTCAGGTTACTTTAATCCTATTATTAAGTCAATTAAGGGTACACCTGTGTAACTGAAGCTGGGTCAAGGACCAGCAGGTCTGAGGGCCTCCAATTTATTCACCAGCTGCAACCATGGTACAAAATGTCTAGATGTTCAGAGAGATGTTAATAATTTTTCTCATTAAAGAATAATTATAATAATTGCATGTCACTGGCTTACAAGTTAATTCATGTTTTGAATTAAGTAGGAATAAGTAAGGAGGAATACTGTATATAAAGTAGGATAGGAAACAGAGAGTCCAGCCAAGCAGTGAAGTGTTCATATCAGGTGTAATGAATTTAGTGGAGCTGCACAGGGATGTAGCTGTATTAGGAGAAGAGCTCCTCCTACTTTATATCTAAATATGTGTTCAAAATTCTGGTATGGTAAGGAAACCTCTCAGGTTTGCAGAATATATTAAAATAGGAAGATTAGAAAGAAGTGTGGAAGTGGCAAAAACATTTAATATAGACAAATGCAAAGTGTTACATGCAGAAACAAAAAATATAGCATGGGAAACAAGAAACTTGAAGAAGCTGCTTATAATAAAGATTTAGGTGTTTATGTCAATGTTTCATTTGCATATTCTAGATAATGTGTGGAATAAATAGAAAAGAAAAAACATTTATATAAAGCTATAGAGTTTAAAGCATATAATTCAAATCAAGGAGTATTATGTTAATATTGTACAATGCACTAATAACGTTACAATGTTACTAATGTTACAAAATGCTAATGGAATCAGTCCAAAGAGGAACTACCAGATACATTCCAGGATTTAAAGGAATGTCTAACATTGATAGGCTGTAGGAACCAAAACTTTTGAAAGTGTTCCTCTCTTGAACACAGAAGGAAATGCGGGCACGTCATCCATGAATTCACAATCCTCAATTTTTTTACAAAGTCTTCCCGTCGGACTTCTTCATTTAAAATTGAGAACAGGAAGCGCTTCTTTATACAAATGATTGTGGAAGCATCAAACAAGCTACCCAGCCATGTTGTTGAAGCTGACACCCCGGCTTCTTTAAAAAAATGTCTGGATGAGATATTTAGATAATTAGCTTCTTACTGCTGTACATTTTAACTTCCAACTACAGTACATTTGTACTGTACTGTACTGTACTGTACTGCATGACTCATGACTGCAACCTTTCTTATGTTCCTAATGATCATATTGAGACATTGTTAAAATCGAGACATTTTTAACAATTTTTTAAATTAGTTATCAGAAAAACCAAAGTGCTTTCTGTGAATTCTACCTTCTAGTTAATTTAATTTGCCAATCAAAGTTAAGCTTTATTTAATTTGACATGGCATTGTAGCATGAAGCATTGAATGCCATCAATTTACAATAAAGAATGCTTAATCCAGTTCAAGTTTTTTTTTTATGTTTTATCAGCAATCAGCATATAGGCTGCTCCTGTATAGCTCCTTTGCTTCATTTGACGATAACAGATGGATAACATCTTTGGACGATAACAGACAGTCCCATGCCACACACCTGTGCATTTTTATCATTATGAATAGGATGTGCGAACTATTCAATGCAAAACCAGTCCAGCAGATGACTGGTGATTGATTATGATGTGCAGCAGGCAGTTACTGTACAGTAAGTCTTGGATTTATAATGGGTTATTGATATGTTCTGGTTCATGACTGCGGCCTTTTCTTGTTAGTGTTTACCCTCAGATATGACAAAGAAGAGTTAAAGGAGCTCCTGGAGTAATTAAACACCTAATAAATGGTGGTGGCCCCATACTCTTAACAGAGCTCATTACAGCTGAAACTATGAGTAATTGTTAAAATGTTACCACTAGGTGGAGCTGTTGGACAGTTGGAGTCCCCATATTGAGACTCTTGTAACAGAAACTGGAAGACATTTTGAAAATGATTACTTGAGTAATCTGACAGTTCTTCTGCTCCTAGAACATCACGACATCTCCTATTCTTGTATGTTTATTCAAATATTGTCATTTCAATGTGAATTTGACCTACATTACAGCCTTGGGTAATGTATTTTTGTGATATTTTTTCTAAATTGCCTGCTCTGTAACCAAAAAGCCCAGGGTAATGTAACACAATATCTCACTCGCTTATTTTGGAGGGCTTGAGGTATTAGTCAGTAAAACTTCACAACAGCCTGGTTATCTTTTGTCCTCTGGGTTTCAATCCAAATAACCTCTGACTGAGATAATTAAACATCAATCAGATGTTTAATTAGGAAGCCAACAAACTACATATCATTGTGTATTGACTGTTTAAGGCTGCCTATAAACCTGACTGTACTTTCACCCTCCAGGATCAGGGTTACAGAGCGTTCCTTTAGTCATTTAGTCATTAGATCATTTAGAATTCATGTGAATTATGCCTATAGTTCCAGTTGAGAGTGATGCTTAACTGGCACCTTAATTATATTCTCATCCTGACTTTTTAATTCTTTTCTGCTAAAAACTGCTGATGCACCAAATTCAGCTTCACGGAAACTCAATTAAGTGATTGAGAGAGGAATAACAAACAAAAGGCAAAGGCTCTGAGAATATTTAGAATATGCACGGAAGTAGTTTTGCAACCTCAATCTGTCGTTTCCCTTACTGATTTTCTAAGAAAATGTACCATGTAGGAAGTATGTTTTGAAAGAGATACACTTGTTTTTAGAATATTTGCAGATTGTGCGATTTATTTTCTTTGTGTACCACAGCGTAATTTAAGATCTATGTAATTATTTTTGTTTAAATCTTCAAAGTGCCTCTCTTAACAACAATTTGAGTTACATCAGCAGCTATATCACCCTGAAACTCACAGCTGGCAACCCACTGAAGTTAAGTGGGTGTGAGCCTGGCCAGTACCTGGATGGGAGACCTCCTGGGAAAAACTAAGGTTGCTGCTGGAAAAGGTGTTAATGGGCCCAGCAGGGGGCACTCACCCTGTGGTCTGTGTGGGTCCTAATGCCCCAGTATAATGACGGGGACACTATACTGTAAAAAGACACCATCCTGCGGGTGAGAGTTAAATCCTAGGTCCTGAGCCTCTGTGCTCATTAAAAATCCCAGGGTGTTTCTTGAAAAGAGAAGGAGTGTTACTCTGGCATTCTGGCCAAATTTCACATTGGCCTTTACCGACCATGGCCTCCTTATCTATCTCCATCTATGAACTGGCATCACCACTCTGTTCTCTTCCCCACTGATAGCTGGTGTGTAATGAGTGTGCTGGTGCATTCTTGCTGCTCTTGCATCATCCAGGTGGGGGCAACACGTAGTGGTGGAGGGGAGTCGCCTTCACCACTACCAATGTGCTATATACTGTAAGTGTAATAAAAAAAGTAATTTCATATGTATCAGAATGGCCAGAGTATTGGGTGTGCTAAAATACTGTAACGTTGTAATTTCCTAGTTCTATTAGTATCAGAAAAACTGATATTTTCCTTCACTATTTAAAGGTGTGCATTGTTTGTGCCTCATATGAGCTTTAAATTAGTTTGAATACTTAAATTGAGTTCTGCAGGGCAATAAACCATTCCATGTTGAGAAAGGTTGTTAATGTAGGCAGCATTGTTTGATTCACATCACTGATACAGAATCACATTTCTGTTGACAATTCACACAGCTCAGTCGGTCACATTTGTTTCAAGCTTCCAATGTAAGCAACATTTACCCAGTGTTTTGCTAAATTTGAACTTGGTCAAGGTGCTATCTATAGGCAATCTACAAGAATGTCTAAAATTAGCAAGTGCTTGGCAAAATTGTGTTCATGAGTTAAGACTGCTGTAAGAGGAACCTAAAAACAGTTACAAACAAGAGGAGGCCATTCGGTAGTAAGCAGATAATTGATCCAAGCATCTCTTCAAGCCATTGTCTTGATAGCAGTCAGGGTATCGGCTTGAACAGCATGCCTGTATAGCTTGCTCTTGTTCCATACTCCCACCATCACTTGGGGTAAAAATGAGACTCTTGTTCTTGGTTTAAATGCCCATCCAAGTAGTTTCTATCTCTAGTTGCTGTCCGCTTCTGTCCTCTAGTTCATGTTTCACTATTGTTTACTTTATAAGAAGTCCAGGGGGTTCACAGGTTGACTTTAACAATCCCTTTCGGGGTTTTCAAAACCTCTTCCTCTATCTCTTTTGTTCAAGACTGAAATAGCTTAGTTCCTTCAGCCTGTGAGTGTTGGACA